CCGCGCGCTACTCACTGGACGCGCAGCACACGAACACCTTCATCTTCAGGCAGGCCCGCCGGTGGTTGTGCGGCGGCGTGGCTGCGAGGGCAGTGGCGTGGGCACCAGCACCCCGGCCCACACCCGCGGCCCGAATGGGAGCCTCCTCCCGCAKCCCGCATCCCGCATCCCCGTCCCACAAAAGCAATTCCACCTGCATCCTGCATCCCCATCCTGCATGGGAGCCTTCCCCCGCATCCCCGTCCCACAAAAGCCTTTCCACCCACATCCCGCATCCCCATCCTGCACAGGTGACTTCACCACCAGTCTGTATCCCCATCCCACATCCCCATCCTGCACGGATGCTCCCCGCACCCCCCCATTTTGTGTCCCTGTTGCACGTCGCTACCTCCACCGCTCTCCTGTATCCCCATCCCACCCCGCCACTCCCCAAAGGTGCCTCTACCACCATCCCACATCCCCATCCCGCATCCTGCTCCCACACAGGTTCCTCCAGCAGCATCCCCGCCCCGCATCCCCATCCCAGGTCCCTATCCCACCTCCCCAGCCTGCATAGATGCCTCCAACACCACCCTACACCCCTATCCYGTGTCACCACCCTGCAAAGGCATCCTACCCGTATCCCATATCCCCATCCCGCATCCCATATCCCCAAACCACATCCCGCATCCCATTGCGGCGCGGGTGCCTCCCGCAGCGCGCCCGCCCCGCGTGCCCGCCCCGYGCCCACGCACAGATGTAGTAGTACTCCTGGCCCGCGTGGAACTCGTAGCCCAGCGAGAAGGCGCTGTAGCGCTGGAACTTCTCCGAGAACTTGATGGGGCTGTGGGGCGCGTGGGGCCGGTTGCACTCCCAGCGCTTGAAGCCCTGGCTGGTGTTGCAGGTGCGGTAGCCCTCGGCGTTCACCATGTAGAGCACGTACTGCTCGGGCCGGTGCTCGCCCACCGACGCGTTGTAGTGCGGGCAGTAGATGTCCAGGTAGTCGTTGACGTTGACCTGCACGGTGTAGCCCTCCCGGCGCAGGCTGCGAGCGGAGCGGGCACGTCAGGAGCAGGAGGAGGGTCCCCGGGGAGCGCGGGGGGTATCGGCACGCCGGCCCCGCCACACGCCGCGGCTCAGCGCGCATTCCGCGCCCCGGCCCGCTAATCCCCTTAGCGCCTTAATGCCGTCAAGGGCGGCCCGGGGGGAGCCTCATTTGCATCGATTAGGAGCCGCAATCCCCTCAGATCCGCTTGGGAACGGTGCCGGCGCCTCCTAATCCGCCCCCGACGGAAAGCCCGGCCGCGGGAATCCCGGTGGCCACGCGCCGATTGCCGGGGTGCCGCTACCGCGGGCGCTCACTCCGGCAGCGGGGAGGCCGTCGGGAGCCGCGGCCTCCAGCGAGGCCGGGCCTCGCGCGCCAGCGAGGAGCCGCGCGCCGCTCCGCGACCTTTCACGCTGCACCTCTGATGTGGTGGGAAAAGGAGGCGGCGCCAGCGGCCGGCGAGGAACCGKCACTGCGGGACGCGGGCACCGGGGAGGCTGCGAGGCCCCGGGGGCACCGGGTTGCAACGCGGCGCCCCGGCGCGCTGAACCCCTGGGATGCAGCTGCCGCTAACGAGCCCCGCTAACGAGCCTGCTCCACCGCGACCGCCCCGCGGATGCTCTGGAGCAGCAGGGAAGCCCCAGCCGGGCATGGAGCTGTGGGATTCTCCAGTCGGGAAGAGGCTGGCGGAGGGCACAGGCTGGCGGCAGGTGCCCACGGTGGGGATGGCGGCGCCGGTGGCACCCCAAGGGTTAAGCGCGGTGCCACGGGGCCGCATCGCTTCTGCACGGCTGCGTTTGTGGAGCAAACRCTGTGCCGAGGCGGCRGCACCTGCCGGCTCCCGACAGCGCYGGGAGGATGCCCGGCCCGATCCCGGCTCCTGGCGAGCCGGTGTGCCTGGCAGCAGCAATAAATCCAGGCTGGGCACTGCTGGAGCGCAGGGCACACTGCAGCTGCGGGAAGGGCCGGCACAGGGCTGGGAGAGGGGCTGCCCGGAGGCTCCTGGCTGCGGCACCCGGGCAAATCCCGGCCCCATCCCGCAGTGAGTCCATGGGAAAACGCTGCTGCTTCCCTCCTTCCATCGGCCCTGGCACTGGCAGGACCAAGTCCCCRTCCAGCAGCACCTGCTCTGCACAGCCCTGGGGCCAGCCCATGCCTCTCCGTGCCTGCCTACCCTGCTTTGTTAATGAGATCAATGAGGATTTTAATTAAACCATCAATCTGCAACCAGGGACTCCATCACTGGCCTGGATGGGAGTGGACGCCGGCTCACGCGGGCTGCAATTCCCACCTGGAAAGGCGTCAGCTCCGCCTTCCCACCTGCAGCCGGGCGCATCCCGCGGACCCAGCGACATCCTGCCCCGCACGGAGGGTCCCGGCATGTGGCGTCTCCATCCCAACGGAAGGATGCGGTGCCTGCCGGACACACGGGCATCCCTGCTCCTCCTGATCCAAGGCACCTCCAGCCCAACACTGGCTGGAGGCACGCGGCCTCCAGCGCCTCCACCCCAATCCATGGATAAGGATGGGCACGGAGAGRAAGGACCGACCCGCTCCCCTTGCACCGGGAGCCCTGGAGACACCGGGACGAGGTGCAATAAATCTCAGGGTCCCTGCGGCAGACGATGTCCCCGGGGACGCGGTGCGCGGCCCAGCCCTGCGGCRGGCACCCGCTCCCCGGAGAGCCGCGCGCCGCCTTGTTTATCGCTCCGGCTGCGCCGGGGCGGCTGGGATCTGCAGGCTGCGGCCCAGGGAGCCCAATTCCCCCCCATAATTTATCTCCTCCAGACGCTTCGCCGCGCGCCTATAATTGCGGCCGAGCTGCCGCACTGCCTAGCAATAAATATCGGAGCGCCTGGGACACGGCTCTGCCGCAGCCGCCCCCACCGCGGCACCGGGCCCCGAGCGGGACGCGTGCGCGGTTGCGGCACCGGTGGCCGGGGGCGCGCAGGGGCGATGCCGTCCGCGCTCCCAGCGAGGGTGGGATGCCCACGGCATCCCATGGGAAGCCCAGCGGGCCCGGGATGCATCGACATGGGCATCGCCCACCCGCCCGCCAAGACCTTGGGCAATGGCGCGGCGGGCAGAGCCGGTGCTGGCAGCGCCGGGACAGGCAGCACGGCGAGCCGGCGGCGGCGCCTCGCCACGGCACGTCTCGCGCCCGGGCGATTTATGGGGCCCGCGCTTCCGCCTGGAGGCACAAGCTCAATGGGGAGGGAGGGAGGGAGGGAGGGAGCTGCTGGGGAGCTGCCCGCCCGCACAAAGGGCAGCGGAGCGGGGGGAGCCGGCATGCGGGGAGCCCCCGCACGGACAGCGGCCAGAGACGCTCCAGCCGAGCGCACGTCCCTGCCACACCCTGGCGAGGGGACACGATGCCGGGAGCACCCTGACCTCTCCATCCATCCATCCATCCATCCATCCATCCATCCATCCGTCTGGGTACATCCCGACCTCTGCGTCCATCGCCGCGCTCGTGGCACGCGTGTCCCCGGAGCGCGGCGCTGCCAGGCCCGCTGCCCGCACTCCCCTTGTGGGGCTGCCCCGTGGCGCGGCGGGCGTCGAGGGCATCGCGGCCCCGGCCTCG